GTCTCGAGGGAAGGAGCCTTTCTTGCCTCTTCCAGCCTCAGGTGGCTCCGGGCGTTCCTTGGCCTGTGGCAGCCTCACTCCAGGCTCCCCCTCCCTTTTCACAGGGCCTTCTTCCCTGTTTTTGTCTGTGTGTCTCACATCTTCTCCTTTCATCTATAAGGACACCAGTCATTGGATTTAAGGTCTACAGTAAACCTAGGACGATCTCATCTCAAGATCCCTAATTACATCTACGAATACCGTATTTTCAAATAAAGTCACATTCACTGGTACTCTCGGTTCAGAGTTGGACATATCTTTTGGGGGCTACTATTCAATGCACTACAGGGGCTGAGATAGATTGATATGTTACAACAGGTTAGGAGTTCTAACAAAACTGTCTTCATTTTATTATTTGATCTGACTATACAGGTTCGTAGTCAGAAGAAACAAAACAAAACAACTGTATATAACTTCCTAGATTGCTTTATGAGCTCCATGGGATGTAGCAGATTTAGAAGAAAAACTCCAGGCTGGTGGAAGGAGATGAAATGAGCCCAGAGCAGAATCTATTCGCAATATATTAATAAAGAAACACAAATGAATGTAAAGACTGTAGAACAAAATAAACAGAAGGGAAACTTCAAGATTCACATGGGAAAGAAGTGAAAAGAGAAAGAAAGAAAAAAAGGAAGCTGAAGTGTTAATAATGATCATGATGAAGTAAGGAATAAAGTCTTGAAGATATAAAATGAAAAATGAGGGAAGTTATAGTCAAGAGAATATCAGACCAAGGCTATACCTATAAAATAAAAATTTATGGACTTGAGTATGGGACCTTAAAAAGGATCTTTAAGTTGCTTCAGGAAATATTTCTTCTTCTTCCAGTTGTGTCTGATGGAATCTCTAATGTGACAACTACTGCTCAGATCAAAGGCACACTTCCACCGATTCTTGGCCAACTGACCTTGAAACTCTGACCTTTTGGGCATGCACGTGGCCAAAATAGTTCCCAGGCATCTATTATCTTCTGGCATAGTTCACATTCTTTGGAAAATCTAATAGGTTTATCTCAGTTATTTAAGTAGACCACACATGTCAAAGGTTACTGGTCATTACATAAGGTACTAACTTAATGGGTTGACTATTGATCACTTGTCCATTCACCATAGGTCAGGGGAAGTCAGACCATGGGGTCTCATAGTATGTGGATCTGTTCCTTCCAGAGTCATGGCTGGAATAAATACAAAATAGTACATATATTAAACAGATACACCAAGGGGTACAATGAAGCAGTGTTCATGCTATAAAGTGTGGGCGGTTGAAGAAGTAGGCATGGAAGAACTGGGTCTTAAGTCTGCGTAGTGTTCAACAATGGGAAAGCGCAGGGAGGTGGCTGAGGGGTGACGGGGGGCAATCAAGAATTCCGAATGGAGGGATACATACAGACCCCATCAGGGGCCCCAAGTGTGCCGTTTCTAAGACAGCAGGACCTGGGATGGCCACTAGCCATTTTATCAAAACCTTGTGGTATTCTCAGATAAGAAGCCAAGTAGAAATAAGAAAAAGACTTGAATTTTATTTAATCATCTTGTCTAAGGCATAGAGGAATATTTTCCCGTCTCAGTTCTTTAACTGGAAAGCTAGCACCATGAAAGGGGTTGTTAAATTAACAAGTATTCCAGCACTTTAATTTATTAATTGGTATGTTCTGTTTTAATTAAAATCATCCTAACTGATCACTCACTTCACTGTGTGCAACACCAGCTGAATAAGCTGCTCTCTCTTTAATTTATTAAGTTTGTATTGCTTTTCTTTCCACTGGTAGTGATTCAAGGGGAACATAAATTTAACCTTCTATTTGTGCCTTTGTGCCTATGAAATGAGTGTCACCTTGGAATAAGTGAGTATAGTAGAAAGAATATGGGCTTTCAAATTCATACAGGTGGGTTGAATATCAGGTCTGCCATTTGTGAACAGTGTGACCTTGGACAAATATTTAACTCCTCTCATCCTCAAATTTTCCTGTATACAAATGGGAATAATAATAATACTCTCTGCAGAGATTTGTTGTGAGGGTTAAATAAAATAATGAAAGCAAAGAAGCAGGCATGTAATAGTCCCCATGATCACTACCACTATCCTACTCACCTGGGGTAGCAACTCCTTATCCATCAAGGCTCAGTTTAGCCACCACCTCCTCTGGGGTGTGTTCCCTGAGTCCCAGATCTGAGGAGGTGTCCCTCCTTTAACTCTGTGTTTATTCCTATTGTATGACTGTATCTAACTCTTCCATTTACTTATGTGCCCAGCTGGGGTGCCCAACTAATGGGCAATAGCAGTTATTTAAGATGGAAGTAAATGTTATTCTTTTAATGTACATATGGTATATTTTCAAATGACTCCCAAGTTAGGAGGATATAAACAGTTATTAAATTGTTTGGATAAAACAACAAAAAAGATAGGTTTTCTTGTGGCCTAGATGTGCTGTGAAAAATACTACTGAGATGCCAAGGGTGCTCACTGTGAACAACAGAGGTAAGGAACCTCTGTACAGGAAAATGATGGTGTCCTGAACAAGAGGAACAGCAGTGCTCATATTGTTGTTATAATGAACTTCACAGTTATAAGAATGCCGTAAATACTAGCTAACAAGAAATTGAGCCATTTCTGTTTCCCAGGCATTCGGGTGTTAGGAGCATTTGGGTGTGCTTCAAGGGGTCGCATGTATTGGCTCCATTACTCCCTTCAGCACCCCTTAAAAAAATGTTTATTTTTCTACAGAAGAGGAAACTGAGGCCTGTAGAAGATGTGCAACTTGCTTAAGGTCTCTGAATGGGTTGATACTGGAGCTGGGATTCAAATCTAGGCGTCCTGACTCCAGAATTAGAGGTGTTAATCACCTGCTGACCGAGGCTGTGGAGATGCAAAGGAGACAAGGCTGAGCTTTCTGGACAGCAGAACCTGCAGAATGTACAGATCTCAGGAACCAGAGAGCACAGATGCTTGGGGACATCCATCTAACTGACTTCGCAAATGCTCTGCCCCACAGCCTGATGGCTCAGGTGGCTTAGGGAGATGTGTGCGTCTGTGGTCCTGACTCTGCCCCCTGCCCTTCCTTATTGGAAACCTGCCAGGTGACCCAAACTAGGCCCAATGAAGCTTTATCCAAGGAGCCGGGGACTGAATCACTCAGCTTCTGTCGCTTTTCTATGAATCAATCAACCCAAACAGATGGATATTGTCACGACAGGATGCAAAAGTGAGAAGGTTCACAACCTTTTGCTGTTGAGGGCAATCCCCATTAATATGCTTTTGAGTCTGATTTCTTCAGTGATTTTTAGATTCCCTGAGATCAGTACTCTGCCAATACCTTTTTCTTTTACTTGAGCCAGATTTGTTATACCTCTGTTCCTTTTAACCAAAGGATGTTTAACTAGAACCTTGGACATAGATGTCATAAATATACTACTCAAAAGGGTGGGTGGGGGAACAATACCTCTATTGCTAAGTGGTTAGCTCCTTAAATTGAGCGGCCACAAGTGTCATTCAGATCTCAGGCTCCAGCTGGGCCAGCTCCTCCCAGAAGCCAGGCAGGTTTGTGGAGTCCACATAGGGAGCTCTGAAAGGCGACTCTCTGCACTGCCTGGGAGGCCAGCAATCTACCCGGTGATTACACTGCTGTCAGGTTGTAAATACACATTTGCAAATGCCTCTGTAATGGTTCAGAAATAATTTAGGCCTGTCCATGCGGGCCTAGTTACAGAAGGTTAACAGGGAACCTTACCCAACATCTGCTTTCATGATTGGAGCCAAATTTGTGCTGTTTCAACACTTGTGGGTATAAAACAGCAGAACGGCTATTTTCCTCTGCCAACTCCCAGAAAATAAAAACTCAGCAACAACAGACAGTTGTATGGACGATTGATGGGTTTAGTGTGGACGTAATGTTTTCAACTATCACGTCTTACTAAGAATGATTTGACTTTCTAAAAATTTAGTAAGATGGGCAATTGCTCTCACAATTAAGGTTATGTTGCTTTACTCACCTGCTTCCCTGACCTCATGCAGGATGGTTCATACCATAATTAAACTAAGACAGTCCTGTTAAATGTAAAGCATCCTATATGGAGATGCCCACGCCAGAAGTGGTAGATGTCAAGGCATGCAATTCAGAATGTTTGTCTTTTAGACTTTTGATATGGGGCTTATGCTTGAAATTGGTGTTTTCCTGCTCTCATTGTCTTTAGATACGTCATTTTTCCTGATTGGCAAGCATATGGACCACTTGTATTCCTTCATTTCAGCTGCTCTGGATGGTGACTGTCGAACCCACCAACATCCAAGGGTATCCTGTGCCTGTCATGGAACCCATATGTTAAATGTCACAGCTCATCCCAAATTCTAACTGCTGGCAAACACCTCAAGTTTGGGTGACTATCCATCTGGCCATTTTCAAGTATTATGTATATTGCATAGGGTTATAGTTCTGTTCAAGCAAAGTGACTCCAAATTATAGTGGCAGAAATGTAACAGAACTTTATTGTTCTCCTATGTAATAGTCCCCCAACTCTCACATGAAGAGACCAGGGTGGCGGGTTGCTTTGCTCGAGTCATTCAGATATCCAAGCTCTTACCATCCTTTGGTCCTGCCATTCCCCCAGGAATTGTCTCATCTGTATGGTCAAGGCTGGGTTGCAGATGAACCCATGTTACAGCTCATGGAAGGGGAACAAATGTCCAGGGAAGCTGGTTTGTCTCTTAAATTGGAGATGACCTGCAAAATCAACTTTCATTCACATCCCATTGGCCTAAACTAAGAAATAGATCCTGGGTAATGCTGTTTCTACCAGGGAGCTTTGGACTCACCTTCAACTCTACTGCCATGGGAGAGGGACAATAGATTTTGATGGCTGGCCAGAAGTTTCTGCCACATGTAACATCACAGAAAGAGATATTACCTCTTAAAATAAGATAAATGCCATATAGTCATATATTCAACAAATATTTATTAAGTGCCTACTGTGTGTCAGATGCATTTTCTTTTCTTACATGTGTAAGAAAAACAGTGGTAATATACTGTGAGTGAAATTATGCAATGCTATAAACACATTTTCCACTTTTCAAAGACTTTTGCTCTCATAGGAAACAGAGGGCAACTGAAAACAAGGCCAGGTTTTTTTATCTTCATATTGTAGGAAAAATATTCACACCTGTCAAATTCCACCAGTTGGCATTATGGTGGCTCTGCGGATGCGCACACACAAAAGCTGCTTCGATAGTTATTTGGATGTTGGTCTCATAAATCATAACTTGCTTGTTGCATGTTTATGAAGAGGTAGGAAGGATTTTTCAGAGGATGATATTAGGTCATTAAGATTAAATTCAACTTCAAAGGTGGGGTATTTTTCCAAAATAATTAAGGCAACAAACAGAGCATATTTTGCAGTAAATCCCTTGATACAGTAAGTCACACCATCTTCAGGGTTTGTGTACTCAAAGCAGTGAAAAAGAACACGATGGCCACCCTGTATCAGGTCATTCTGGTGGTAGACCTGTGGGTGCAGGAAATAGTCCAGAGGCACCAGGAACACAGTCTTAACTTCATCAGGATTCAGCTGGGCCTGGAAGTTGTGGTCTACAAACCCAACTACTGGTGTGATCAGTGTATTTCTCTAAAAGCAGAAAACAAAATACACAAATTAAGGAGATATTGTTTCAAATGATAAAGTCATGCCACTTCCATGTGTACTAAGAAAAGAGACTGAAGCAGTCAATACACAGGGTGGGTCGGGAAGGAGGAACTTGCTGCAGAAGTGAACTTTATGTCCCCCATGAGAGGGGGGTAGCCTCTGTCCTACCTGAGACAGCATCTGTCTGTGAGATAACGCTGAAATTACTTTGTGAACGTAAGTCAGTACAACCTTTTGGAATGACGATATGCCATTATAAAAATATGGTCCCTCTGACTTAGCAGTTGTGTTTGTGTAAGTATATCTGTATGATAAATTCCTGTTAGTGAGAAAAGATACAAGTACATCAGGTCTTCTAATCATGCTGTTTCATTATAACATTGATGCGATGCTGTGGGAACTTTGTTTATATCACGTAGCCTATGGTAAAACTGGTTTCATTATATGTTGGCTCACTTAAGTTGCAGAACCTATCAACAATGTTAAGTGAGGATTTACTGCACAAGGCTGAAGCATTATTTGCAATAGCCAAAAACTCTGAAGTTACCACTCTTCAATTGATGGACATTTAGGGTGGGTCAATTATGAGTACAGCTACATAATGGGATTCTATGTAGCCCTTAAAAAATGCAAAAGATAACTTTCCCTATCAGTATAGACACAGATGTGCCATTTATCAATAAAGTGACATCACATTATGACATATTCCCGTTTATAATCATCTATGGGAATTAAAATCATATATGAACTATTTTATATAACCCTTCTGTTTATATGTGGGAGGATTTCTATTTACAATTGTAATTGCTTGCAAACAGATGTAGTGCACTGTGAAGTGAAAGATTCTACTGGGAATTTTGAGGGGGATGCCTGGGGTTAGTGTAAAAGCATCTGCAGGGTTCCACAGCACCCAGTTTGAAAACCATCCATGGAGTTCCCCTTTCATTTTTGGATGGTGGAAGAAAGACCCAGACAAGACAAGGGGCTTTTTCCCAAGGCCACTTAGCTCGTAAGAGCAAAGTCAGCATGAGAACCAGTCTCTTGGGGGCATGTTTGGCCATCCTGAAGACAATGGATGCCCTGGGAGCTCAGGACTCTTAGCAACCCATTTCTGTTCCAACCCTTACATCAAATATATATGGTACCAGGCAGCAGACAACCTCCACCTGATGAGGGTGCAGCCCCACTTCCTCCTGGGCTTCCCGGAGGGCTGTGGCCACGTCATCCGCATCTGTAGGGTCGCGTTTTCCTCCAGGGAAGCATACCTCTCCAGGTGCCCGTCTAAGCTGGACAGTGAAAGAAGAGAGCTGCACTGTGTGACTCCAATCTCGGAACCATTCACTCATTCAACAAGTACTTACTGAACTCCTGTTTGGTGTTAGAGACCATTCTTACAATAGTGGTAATAAGTGGAGAACTAGAGCAAAAGAAAAAAATGTTCTTACTTGAATCCTTTTTTTTAAAAAATGAACTCAAAGAACTTCTCTCACTTTTAACTATTCTCTACTTGCCCTCCAAAGATACCATACACACACAAACAGATATACATTGATCAGGGGCAGGGGGAGCTGCAAGAGAGGCTCCTGGAAGGGGCAGTGTTATCAACAGATAACTTTTACTGAGTGCTTACCACGTTCTGGATATGTTACTTCACAAGGACTTTTTCCAGAGTCAGCAGAACAATTTCATAAGCTACTTTTTTAAAGTTTTTTTTTTTAAGGTCTTATTTATGTATGTATGTAGTTATTTATTTCTTAGAGGAGAAGGGAGGGACAAAGAGAGGGAGAGAAAGATCAATGTTTGAGAGATATATCAGTTGGTTCCCTCTCGCATGCCCCCAACTGGGGAACCTGGGTGCCCTGACTGGGAATCAAACCTGAGACCTTTTGGTTTACAGGCCAACACTCAATCCACTGAGCCCCACCAGCCAGGGCTAAAGCTTTTTTCTTATTGAGGCAAAATCCATAGCATAAAATTAAAGTGAACCAATCAGTGACATTTAATACATTCACAACGTTATACAACTACTGCCATTATCTAGTTCCAGAACATCTTCATCACCCCAAAAGGAGACTACCCACTAAGCAGCTGATCCCCACTTGCCTCATCTCCCTGCCCTCATTTTCTTTCTCTATGGATTCACCTATCCTGGATGTTCCCTGTAAAGGGAACCATACAACACATGACCTTTGGTGTCTGTTTTGCTTAGCATCAGGTTTTTGAAGTTCTTCCATGTTGCTGTGTGTTTCAGTACTGTTTTCCTTTTTATGGCTGAATAGCTTTCCACTCTATGTATATATCACAATTACCTAACTTTCCAGTAATGGACATACACTATATTATTCTTTCCACTCTTGTAAGGGAACAAAGCCTCAAAGAGGTTCAGTAACCTGACCAGGTTCACTTAAGGGGTGAATAGTGGAGCTGGAATGTAAATCAGCATTTTTATTCTGGAACGCACCATATATTACGACCTCACACAGAAGTTGCAGTCCCCCGTGCTATCAGCACTGACCTGTGCCAATGCTGCCATACATCTGCACACAGGGGTGGAGGGGCAGGAGCCTCTCCCCTGCATCGCCCCCTGCCACGTATACCCTTGATTCCATGCCTTCCTGACTTCAGGAGAACTATTTGGATCTCCATCTGTAGCCTCCTAAATATTCCCCCCTCCTTTTTTTTTTTGTTTCTGTCCTTAAAATGCTTTCTCTCCTATCTTAGACAGGGGTGGAGAAGCACAAGCCCTCCAGACTTCTCTCCTCTGCAGAACCAAACTTCTTAGCAAATGTGGCCTCAGTTTCTGTCACACTCACTCCCGCCCATGCCCACCGTCCGTTCTCTCCTGAGCTGTTGGGCAGACCTCAGGGTCAGCCTCCTGGCTCGGGCTCTTCTCAGCTGTGTGCTGTGAGGGTGATGTTGGTGTGGACCTCCCAAGGTCGTGGAGCTGGCCACAGGAGCTGCTGGCCGAAGCACATGGCACGGTGCCTGGCCCATGTGAAATATTTATTCATGAGAACGTGTAAGGACAATTCTTGCTGTTTGGGAGCTAAATCAAGAGGTCAGGTAGGCATTTTTAGCACCTGGGCCAATATATCCTTGTAAGAATAAACCAGATGCTGTTATAAATATTGTAATGTTCTACATCTTAAAGTCTCATTTAGGCAAGATTTTTTAAAAAGGAAAGAGATCATTTTAAAGTTCCTCTCTGCTAATAAATCAGTACAAAAACCCCCCAAAAAACAAGTTAAAAGATTCGTAACAAGGCAGGAACTGCTTCAGTACACAGAAACCTCACACATCTTCACATCAGTTTCAGTTATGAGCATAGTTGAAGTTGAAAATCAGGTTGGTGGACATGTTGCTACTGTCTTGACCATTTACCACCCACACCCACACCCTAGGGCTATTAGGGAAACAGTCCTAATTTTGCATCCTCTCTGAAGACTCCACGGTGTTAGCACGGGGCAGCAAGGCCTCAGTGCCAGAGGCACCTGGAGGGACCCATCCGGCTTGATGGAAATACAGACCTGACTTAATGAGTATTTTAATAGTATTGTCCTGGGACAATGGTACGCAGTTTTAAATAGGCCGATTCATAAAAATGATTATTCACAAACTGTCAGCACCAGAAAGGGCCCTTATGTAACTACAGAGGTTTCCAATCATTTTATTTTTTTGTAGGTAGCATAACATTTTTATTAAATAAAACCTTGTGGAATTCTACTCAAAGCCAAATAAGGTTGCAACCAAATTTCCTAAGACTTTCATCTGTTTTTTTTCTTGAATTTCTTCTTGCCTATTTCAAGGCCTAGAGAGCTGGGAGCAGAGAGAGGGGTGAGGAGAGTCGGGAAGGGAGGGGGAGCAGGGAGAGGCGGGTGGCAGCCTTTGCCCTCATAGTCTTAGGCACCGCTGTCAGGCCCATTTGAGGAAGAAGACTGAGGCTCAGGGATCAAGGGATTTGCTCCAGGTTCCCGAGCCAGCAGGGGGGCCCCCACTTAAACTGGAGGGACTGGTGACACGCGCCCCCTTCCCCATCTACTGAGAGGGAGTCTGTGGACCCAGCTCGTGTGATTCCGGGGAGAGGTCAAGTTCAGGTAATGCCTGGGGGGATTTCTTGACCCCAAAGCCAGAGCCGCTTAGAATCTGATTTAATTGGATTTAAATACTTTAAAAAAAAAAAATGTGACCTTTGGATATTGGAGTTTATGGTCTAAGGTGATTCTCACTTAATAATCAATAGGCAGATACTTGAAACAGAGACCAGGGGACCATTTTTGGTCTTGTCTAGATTTTTCCCATTATTGTTTTTTATGATAATTCAAAAAATATGTTTAAGTGCTTCTCCTGTGGTTTTTGGTAGAGCTGGGAACAGACCCCGGTCCCATGGTTCCACATTAAGTATCTCCCCTTGGAGGCCGGACTGTCGTCATCTGACCCTGACGGGAAGAACGCACACAAGCCTAACCCCAAATCCACGAAACTCCAGCTGATTTCTCAGCTTGATTTTTTCTCCTATGGCAGTGAATTCTGTTATTCTGCTCAGAAAGATGCTTTATCAGGGCCTACTCTCTGTTTTGTATTTTGATAACTTTGAAATGACTGCGTCTCCACTTTCCCTTCGGAAGCACCCCTGACAGCGAGGGACAGTGACTGTGCCCAGGAGAACTGCATGCCCAGCCCAACAGTTCTTTAAGGTTGAACAGTTTCTCTGAAAACCTCAGGCCATGTCTGCTAATGGCCCTTGTGATGACAGCTGAAACTTTCCAAGTCCTTGCCAAGTGCCAGGGCTGTCGTAAGAGCTTTACCTTTGCTACCCTGTGAAATCCTCGTTGCGGCCCCATTAAACAGGTGTTCATATTTGGTCCTCATTTTGCAAATGGAGAAACCGCAGCACAGAGAGGGTAACTAAGTAAGACAAAGTCACACAGTTGGCAAGGAGAGAGCCTGCATTCAAACATGGGCAGCCAGCTTCTGGGCCCAGACTCTTAATTTCTGTGCTTAAGAACTTTCACATGATACCTGGGGCAGGGTTGGTCTAAAACGGTGGCAAAATTGCACCCCGCTTCTGCCAGGACAGTAGTCAATCTCTGGAGACATTTGTGGTCACAAAATGGGCTGTGTGTATGTGTGTGTGTGTGTGTGTTACTGGCACCTAGTGGGGAGGGGCCATGAATGATGCTAAACATAAATCCCATAATGCACAGGGCAGCTCGCACAACAAGGTATTATCCAGCCCAAATGCCAATGGCATCAAGGTTAAGAAACCCCAGTCTAAAAGTATTTTAAATTATTTATTTTTCTTCCCAAAACTTCCAAAAATTCCATGTTATCCTGTGACCCTCAAACATCACAATTTTGAAAGTCCATTTGGGCAGCTCTTACCTCAAAATGTGTGCAAGTGACAAAATTTCATGGAGTTTTCAAATGTCCTGAGACATTAATGGCAGAACCTTTTTGTCACCTACCTTCTCTGACCGGAGGGTGAACAACAGATGAAGTTTTCCTTCTTTAGCCAACAATGGTAAAAGGATGGAACACTTATTACCCGGCAAGTGAGAGTATTTGGTCCCGGCATCATGCTTTTTTAAGCGGGCCTTAGCATCATCTATCAAATTGTTTCTATGAGGGAAACAAACCAAACATTATAGAACCAGAATTATGGTAAAAACCCCCTTGTCCTGCCTATGTTTCTTCTTTGTTGTGTATGTTGACGTTTACCATTTCTGAGTCTCAGTGTACTTTTCAATAACATGGCAGAAATAATAATACCCAAATCACATGAGTTTTGGCAAGATAAAAGGATGCAAAAAAACTACAGTCGTCCCCCTTCATCTGCAGTTTTACTTTCTGTGGTTTCAATTACCTGCAGTCAATCTCAGTCCAAAAATATTAAATGAAAAATTCCAGAAATAAACAACTCCTAAGTTTAAAATTCTGCGCTGTTGAGTAGCGTGATGAAACCTGCACTCTCCAACCCCAGCCCACCTGGGACATGTGTCACCCCTTCATCCAGGTTATCTGGGGTGTGTAGTGCTACCTGCCCATCCGTCGCTTAGGAGCCTTCTTGGTGATCCCATCGACTGTTGCAGTATTTCAGTGCTTGTGTTCAAGAGCCCTTATTTGATCTGATAACGGCCCCAAAGCACAAGGTGATGCTGGCAATTCAGATATGCCAAAGAGAAGCCGAAAGTGCTTCCTTTAAGGGAAAAGGTGAGTACAGTACAATAAGATATTGAGAGGCCACATTCGCATGACTTTTATTAAAATATATTGTTATAATTGTTCTATTTTACTATTATTGTTGCTAATCACTTACTCTGCCTAATTTATAATTAAACTTTTTTATGAGTATGTATGCGTAGGAAAAACCATCACAGTATACGTATATATATGGTTTGGTACTATCCGTGGTTTCAGGCATCTTTTGAGGGTCGTGGAATGTATCCCCCATAGGTAAGGAGGGGACTACTGTACTAAAAAACACAGTCTAATGCACAAGTTCATTTGGAAACTAAATTAAATTTATAAAATATTTTTAACAATCCAACAGTTAATTGTGGAAATCCATAATTATATTTAGGTAAGACAGGTTTGCTGAATAAGTCATTGTAAATTTAGACCATTGTAAAATTAAGGACTTTCTCTTAATCTGGCCCTTATGTCATGTTATTAAGCATTCCTTTTGTTATCAAAAAATTAACTGCCTTATAACAGTGGTTCCCAAACTTTGGCAGCAGCAGAATCACCAGGAGAGCTTACTACAACACAGATGGCTGGGCCCACTCCAAAACTGTGACTCAGTAAGTTTGGGGTGGGGCTAAGAGTTAGCACGTATCAAACTCCCAAGCAATGGGGATGCTGCAGACCAGGGAACGCACTTTGAAAAGCATTACCTGATAACATACAAGTATTTGGATTTATGACCACAAATGGTACCCTGAACTCATGACTGTGAATTTGTTTTGGTCCTTTTGAAAGGTGTATTTTGTTGCTGATTTGTGTAGTGGGTTAAATATCGTCCACCCAAAACCTCTAATGTGACTTGACTTGGAAATAGGATTTCTGTGGATGCGATTAGTTTATGACTTACGATGAAGTAATCCTGGATTTACAGTGGGCCCTGATGCAAATGACTGGTGTCATTATAAAAAGAGGAGAGGACATAGAGAAATAGATACACACAAGGAAGAAGGCCATGTGAAGACAGAGGCAGGGACTGGATGTGACGCTATCACAAGCCAAGGAACACTGCAGTCACCAGAAGCTGCAACAGACAAGGAAGCATCCTCCCTAGGAAACTTCAGAGGGAGAATGGCCCTGCTGAAACCTTGATTTTGGACTTGTAGCTTTCAGAACTGTGAGATAATCTCTGTTTTTAAAGCTACCCAGTTTGTGGCACTTTGTTATTGACAACCCATAAACTAACAGTTTAATTTTAATTTTTTTATGTGAAAGGCAGTTTTGTATAGTGGGCAGAAATCAGATGTTTAAGTCACCTGGAACTGGTTTCAAAATGTTTACAAATGACCTCTCTGAGCTGCCCTTTCCTCATCTGTGACATGTCTGAAAATATTTGTGAGGATTTAATAACGCAATTCATACACTGTGGCCGGTTCCCAGCTAGTAGCCTATGAATGGTAACCACTGTCATAAATGCCCCCATAATTAAATGAGTTGTGTACAGGAGGTGTTGCTACTTTTTGCATCTTTCTACATGGGAGGATACTCACTAAAAGTTGTCGGATAATTGCAGTGAACTGCAAAAACGACCAAAAGGCTTGAAAAGAATCGCTGAATGCTGGCACTTGAGGGAACTCCTAGGTGCATCCCAATCACACAGGTCCACACCCAGAAGAAATTTGCCGGCCCAGTGAGAACAGACTTGACCCAGTGTGGCTTCTAGGAGGCCCCCATGTTTAATCAGAGGGTCTAGCAGATGCAAAGTGTGCAAAAACGTGTCTGTCCACATTAGGGGATGATCCTTGGAACAATCACCATAAAAAGACCACCAACAGTAGCAGCCAACCTGTTGTGAGCACAGGCTTATCCCACACTCTTCCCTTGCTTTTCCTTTTTATCCTCACAACAGCCTGGCGAGGTGAGCGCATTATCGTGTCCAGGCCCGCGAGGTTTTGTAACTGAGAGACTCAAGGTCCCCACTGGAATTAGCCACCGGGGGACCTGAACTCTGGGTCGCCTCCTACGGACTCGCGGTTCCTAAGGTCGAAGTCTGGAGACGTCTGGAGCAGAAGAGGTAAGCCGGCAGCGCACGGGGAAACGCTTTGCCCCTGGGGGCGGGGAGGTGAACCCATGATGGGTGTTAACTGAAGATGGCCAAAGCCCCGCTCTGTCTAGGGCCGGAGAAGGTGCACAGGTCCCGGGACCCCGAGGGCGTCCAAGCTGGTGAGCTCGCTGAGCACAGGCTCAGCAAGAACAATCTCAAACAAAAGGCGCTGGCGACCCGCGGCCCACGGTCCGTTAGGCCCCGCCCCGAACGAGGCCCGGCTGAGTGGGCCCGCGGCCAGGGAGGCTTTACCTGACTGGCTCCGGAAGACAGGATCGCGACATCTTTCGGAAAAGTTTTTCCGCAGCGGACACCTCGGAGGTGCTCTGTCGCCTGGGCATGCGCAGAGCGGCGATGGGCCTGTGGACGGAAGAGAGGCGGGGCCTAGGGACGAAGCTGGGGCGGGGCCTACGCAGTCCGCGGAGATTCGGGGCCGCACAACTCTGGGGGCGGGGCTGGAGGGGCGTGAGGCACGGCCTTCCGGGCCGGGTTGTGAGAAGCGGTTTCTGCCCGGCTCTTTGCTCTACCTCTGGAAGAGAAGGCATATGAGGAATTCTGAAGTTGACAATTGTAATAAAAAAATGTGAAATGCAGTGCTGGTGAGTTGAGAGGATTCTGACACGCGTAGTCACTCTTGCTAGGAGGTTAAGCTGGTTCAACTTTTCTGAACAGCCGTCGACAGGCATTTACTGAGCATCTACAAAGTGCTGCGTGCAGATCCCGCAGCATGTAGATTTTACTGTCAAATGGTGGGGGGAGAGAGAGAGAAAGAGAAAGGAATAAAAAAATTACATAGATAAAGTGGAGCCCTTTAGTCCTTGGAGAGCATCTGACGGAGAAACGTGACCAAATCACATCAGAGAAGGCTTATCACGGAGAATGGAAACAGCAGACTTCAGAGCCGCTGTTCTCCAGGGTAGTTCAGGACCAGCAGCATCCGCACCAGCTGCATGCTGTTGAAATACAGACTCTTGGGTCCCATCCTTGAGCTGCTGATCAGAAACTGGGGGTAAGGCACAGGGATCTGTGCACAGGAGATTCTGGTGCTCACAGAGCCACTGCTCTCAGGTATGTGTGGGAATAAACAAGAGGAAGAAAAGGACAGGGGAGAGAGTTCAGGAAGAAGGACAAGTTTGGGCAAGACTCTGTGCTCTGCAAGACCCAGAGGAGTGGCTGGAGGAACCAGTGAGAGGGAGCCTACTGGGAGCTGACACTTAGGAGGTCAGATTTCAGAAACGTAAGGCCAGGCTGACTTCTGTATCTCTGCAGGAGGTGCAAATGCCTGGGACCCACGATAATGTTTTAATTTTAATTTCTTTTAAAATCAGAAGAAAATGAATATAATAATAACCAATATAAAATAATAAATTTAGGCTGGGTTACATTCATCTTTATACCAATGCAGTCATAAAATAGAGTTTATTTTATTACTATTTCATGGAGGAAGGGGTTTATAAAATCAGAATTGCCTAGGGTCTGGAAATTCACAGTGTGCCCCTTGGTTGTGGGACAGTTGAGCCACAGTTCCCAACACCAGCTGAGCTTAGATGTTCACCTGGCAAGTTTGCCAAAGTTGAGAGAGCCCAAACCCAAAGCTTGATGTCATTCTAATAATAACAGTGATAACACCTCACCCACATGTACTTAATCCTCTGAACAACCCCATGAAGTAGGGTTATTTCCATAGAGGTATTAACATCATCACTTTCCAGATCAGGAAATAAAAAATGATTTGCTTAAGTTCACACAGCTAGGATTCAAGGTTAGAGCATTCTGACCTCTGAGTTCATTCATTTCAACATCACCTCACAGAAGCAACTGACATGTGAATTATATGGCTCTGATTATGAATAAGAAGGAGGTAAATTAACCTTTAATCCAATATCCATTGCATACTTATTATGTGCTAGGCATGTCTAAGATGTGACCCCTTGACCTTTAAGGCCTCTTAGTTTATTGGGGATGATAATAAACATGACTTAGCTCTAGTAATGTATAGTGTGTCCTCAGTTCTGTATGAACAGGGAGGGGAGAGTGGTTCAGAGGTTGAATTGGGGACTGAAAATTACTGTCTGGGGATTTTATTTTCTCATCTTTTAGACATCCTTTGATTGAAGAGCAAACTGAAGCTCAGAGTAGTCTAGAGCTTGCCCGTGGTCACACAGCAGGTGAATTGTGGAGCCAGGTGTTGATGCCATCCACCGAGCTGCAGCCAGCACTCTGGTAGGTGTTGAGGGATGGGTGGGATTTCAAGAGGCCAAAGTGGAGGAGATGACATTTTTAGCAGAGGAAACAGCAGAAGCCAAGCATGAGTGAAGAGTCTTGTTCAGAGGAGCAGGTCGTGCAACATGGCTGGAACAACAGGGGCATTTTGCAGCACAGAGCCCTGGAAACAGGTGAAAAGGCTTCGGAAGCCAAAACAAGATGTCGGTTGACCTTGTTCCTACAGAGAGAGTAATAACAGGTCTGGGTTTTCAGGAAGATTTCTGTGGAATCATGGTGGCTGGATTGGTAGTAGAGAGAGGTGGAGCCCATCAGGGTTCTTCTACAAATCTGGCTGAAGGAACCAGAAAAAGCTATTTTAAGCCTTCTGAAAAACTCCCGTAGTCCCTGCATCAGAAGGTCAGAGTTTGGCAGGGGCTGGTCTTACTGTCAAAAGCAGGATTGAGATGCTTTGCTGTGTACCAAGGCTATGTGCACAGCATCTTTTAGGATCAGAAAGACTGCTGTAAAAATACTTAGTTTTCATGGGTTTTGTAAGGCTGGCAGCCAGAGTGCAGGGAACGTCACAGGTGAAAGGCATCATAATAAGATTACATATACACGGTATTAATGTGCATGTATGTGTGTGTGTATATATCTTCAAACCTGCAAAACAACACAGGCTTCGAGGTTAGTGGGCAATGTCTTTAGGGACGATGGCTTGTCTCTGTAGCTTTTATACACAGATTTGTTGGCAGCAATATAATTCTAGAAAATGTGTGGAAGAGAAGCAAAGCTATAAAAAGGTTCAAGGCAACGTGCAAAACCAACATTTCAATGTGCAGTTCTCTCAAAGGAGCAGCTCCCAGGCACCTGGGTGGACCTTATCTTCCGCTCACCCACCTGGAACCTGCGTTTGAGCAGCACCTTACAGCCAAGCCTAGGTGCTGCAAAGACAAAGAAACTCCAGCCAGTCTCCGCGAACAAAGGGTGTCTGGGGAAAAGACCTACAGCAAACAGTTAGTTTTAATGCCAGATGAATGCCCTAATCCAGGAGAGGGGCTAAGTGCTCTGGGGAGTGAGGAGCCACAAGCAAGCAATTAATTCTGCCTGGGAGTAGGCAGGGAGGTCTGGAGAGGCTGTGGAGAGGTGGTAAGATAATAGGGCATACTTAGGACTTCACATTATTTTCCTAAGAAATGTGAGTTTCCGCCATTCCTTCCTCAATTTGCAGGAGGGCCTCTAAGCAATTAGAGGGCAGTCTCAGGGGAGGGCTTTCATGTTAAGTGTCACATCCATCAGAGTATGATTGCTCTGAGTTTTAATTGTTGGGTTGGGCGTTCATCCTCCAGCTACAGAGTCTGGCACAAATAACGCCCCTTTTTTATTACAAAATCACAAGCATGTGATTCTATAACATAATATCACACTCAAGCACACCATATGACATTTTAGGTGAAATGTTCAAATTAAAACTAGAAATTATTGCACCTGTATTATTACCCTACCAACCACACTCACATAGGCGTTACTTTTGCTGGACCCCGTATTACCAACCCACCCCCAACCCCGCCCCTGACACCAAATCAGAGAGAGCAAAGCAGGATCAGCCTTCACAGCCTTCCCACCTTTTAAGGAGAGGAACTTGAGGGAGTTCTTTGAGGACTAGGTTTAAATAGGAATTTCTCTATGAATGGGCCAGTGTCCTTAGCGTCAAAATCATCTGGGGGATACATGGAAAACTGGGTGCCCGAAATCCCGCCCCATGGGTACTTACCTCAGGGTAAGAATTCACCCAGGAACAAGCTTTTCTGAGCAAGCTGACTGTTGCAAAGATTAAAGACACTGGTGTAAGTGCTCCAAAGAGAGACATTTAATGTTGAGGACATAAGCCAGCTCCTTGCCCCGGAGGAAAGGGCAGATGGCGGCCACCAGCGCCGGAAGTCACCATTCCTCGTAGCATTGGAACAGCCACTCTTTCTGGTCCTGGGAGTTGGCACCTTGGGCAGGTCCATCTCAGAAGAGGCTTCAGGGAAGGTGAGTGGATTGTTTTGTAGAAAATAGGCTGGAGTGGGCAGATCCCTACATAATGCGGTCTCTGCTTTTTTTTTCTTTAAAGAATATTTGAAAAAGGAAAGAACTTGTGAGCTTGGGTCAGCACGTTCTCTCGCTGATGCCCGTTTCTGGCTGTGCGTGGAGCTGGACATTGGAGATCTGGAGTTGCGTGACGGCTGATTCTTGCTCTTGAGAGATTCGGAGTCACATCCAGTGGTGAGTGACTTCACTCTGCACAAGCATCTTCTGGGGGCTGATTGCACATGTGGGTTCTTGGGCTGCGGCCTCAGGGATGTTGATGCAGGTGGGGCCCAAGCATCTGCATTTGCAACCAGACCCTTGGGTGATCCCGATATGTCTATACTTTGAAGGGGGGCAAATAGAACTTGACTCTGAGAAAAATAAAATAAAAGAGTGGAAACCAGCCAGGCCCAGGAAGTCTACATAGACACTTTAGCCAAGAAGTCAGTGAGCTGAGCCAGGCTGTAATTTGTGGAAGCAAGAGTGGACTGGGAACAAAAGGTTAGACACAGATTATAGGAAAAATGCTTCTAGAACTGCCCTGGATTACAAAAGTGTAAATTGCTGGGAATTTACATTTGGGCTCTGCAAAAGTGATTTTTCAAAGTAATTCATGGCGTTTTTCATACTCGTTTAATTTTTATTGTGTAACAATAAAGTAGATATATGCTTACATATTAAGATGTCTTAAATCTCTGATTTTCCATGCGCTAGCCCTGATTAAAACTGATAAAAACCTATGGGCGGGCATCATTCAGACATTTTATACCATTGTTTGTTCTAATTTCTGTGCACCTTTAGAAATGAGCTAAATATTAATCATGTTTAATTCCTTTACTGTCATGGAATCTCTGTGTAATGGAACAATCAAGTAGGTTTAATTACCAATAACAACTGTGCTGGGAAATTTGTAATCTAAATGAAGGTTTGGCCTAGGATGTATCTAATGACATAACTGTGCCGTACAATGAGGCACAGCCTGGTCTCAATTAGCTTGTGAATTAGTTGTGAAATTGGCTTAAGATTTTCTAGTGTGTGGGGAAGCTCAGTGTCTATGGAAG